ACTACTGAAGTGTTTAGGGAAAATTCCTCCCAGTCTCTCCTCCGCAGAGGCGCTCCCGCTGGGCATCCCAATGAAAATAGCAATAATCGAAAATAGCCTCGCGCGCTTACTTTTCTTCTTCTCCCCAGCTTCCCTATGACACAAAGAGACCTCTGCGGAAGAGAGAGAGGAACGTCTCAAACTGATTAATTCAGTCACAAAGAAAATATTTAAAGGAAATAAAGGGAGAACACGGAGGGTCGTGGGTTCGAATCCCATCTGGGGCTCAGATTTTTTCTGTGTCCTCTTATGGTTGATTCTTTACATCTCCCTTTATTTCCTCTAAATACAAAGAAAATACAAAGGAAATTCAGTAACAGTTTAACGAGTACTTAGAGATAAGATGGAAAACTTCCTCTTTTTGCATCCTTTCAGTTTCTCCTCCTAGAATCATTTCGCTTGACAAGCAAAATCAAATATGAAACGGTATTTTAACACAAAAACTCAAACTCAATAACTATTCATGCTGTCCAAAGTCAATAAATGACGACCATTTGGGCCAGGGTGGATGAATCTTGATTCGTAATGAAACACCACAAAATAAACTACCACCAGGTTTTCATCTGAAATGAACATGTTTTCATCTCAGATCAAATACTTTCTTTTTAATTGTTTCGTTTGAGAAAACCTGTCAAAAAAGGGGGTTCGTGCTTCATCACGGGTTCCAAACACCTACGCCTTCGTGCTTTTATCTGTATTTCGGTGTTTGAAACCCGTAATGAAGCACTTACCTTAGTTTCTGACATATTACATCAAACACAAGTTTGTCATACACTGCTTCATGGTCTGCTGCCACTGAAACAACTGGTTTCTCATTATTGTTGGGGGGTAGGGGTTACAAGCAACTCGCTTGTTAAGCTATGTGGTATCAGCAGGAGGTTCCCATCTCGCTGTTTTTTATTCTTCACAGCAGCTCATAATCTTTCTTAAAAAGCTACCACTCAACTTAACCACTAACTGCGCAAAATATTTTGCAACTTAAATAACTAAAATGTAGGTACGTTCGGGTGCTGACCATGAGAATAGAAAAGAGAATTGATGACGTCACAAAAAACTAACTTTGTGAAATTACGGGATAGGTTGGTATTTCCAGAAAGAACTGAGATGAAAACTGTTCTCCTGCCAAAAACCAGCCTTTTAGTGCAAATACGCGGGGAGGTATAAGCATTGTTATGCTCCAATGAGTCAATATAAACCTTTCTGAAATTGGTCTGGATCGTGAACGTATCGATCCAATCCAATTTTAGAAGGATTTGTATGAAGTCATCAGATATTGTATGGAGTCTATATCTTTCCGCCAATTTGAACTAAAATGCTGGTTTTTGGCATGGGGGCTTCACCTTGTTTTTTTCTGAATAAACCATCAAATCCTATAATTTCACGATTCTGAATTTTTGTTACGTCACACTTCCTCTCCATAACGAACCAACTTCCTAGTTCCTATTAAGAATTTCCTGTTGATCACAAGTAAGGGCGAACAAACCTTTAAAGTCAATGATGTCATGTACATAAAAAGCAATGAAAGATTGACAACTACACTCACGAGACTCTACCTTAAATGGACAGGTTCACGGTTAACTGCGTGCTCATTAATTAAATTACTTCTTTTCAATTAATTATTAATTCTATCGGTTAATTATCCCACTCACTTGTATCTCAGCGATCTAAGAGTGTATTTCATAGTAGAAGTGTATTTCAGAGTAACCTGAATTTATTGTTGACTCGAAGGTTTTATTCCATGGTTGATTAATTTACAGCTATTTGCAAATATATGAGTTGATCAAATGCAAGTGACTGCCAGGGGAGTGTGCAGATTGGTTCTTTGACAACATTATCACATGATCATATTGGTTGCATACGTTGAAAAACAGCATATTTTGATAAATGAGCATGCGCTGAACCGTGAACCTGTCCCTTTAAAACAAAACAGGAACTCTGATGTGGGTAACAAACAAGATCAGCTACCGGTATTATCCCAAACGAGCCCACTTCAAGGTCTGACAATCAATTATGCCCCATTCACACCAAAGCTAGAAACATCTTCAAAGTTGTTTAGTTAAAAACAGTTTAAAATTGTTTTCCTCATAAAAGCTGCTTACTGACCTAACCACATTGCCAAATTTAAAACGCAAATTACAAATTATCGGCGTCTTGAAGATCATTTGAATCCTGTTTAAAAGTCTGCGTGTTCCAGTTTTCCGTCTCTTTTTCATTTTTTGAAACTTGGTTTAATTAAAAATGTTTAGTTGGTGTGAATGACCCGATCAAACTCAAANATTGGTCTGGATCGTGAACGTATCGATCCAATCCAATTTTAGAAGGATTTGTATGAAGTCATCAGATATTGTATGGAGTCTATATCTTTCCGCCAATTTGAACTAAAATGCTGGTTTTTGGCATGGGGGCTTCACCTTGTTTTTTTCTGAATAAACCATCAAATCCTATAATTTCACGATTCTGAATTTTTGTTACGTCACACTTCCTCTCCATAACGAACCAACTTCCTAGTTCCTATTAAGAATTTCCTGTTGATCACAAGTAAGGGCGAACAAACCTTTAAAGTCAATGATGTCATGTACATAAAAAGCAATGAAAGATTGACAACTACACTCACGAGACTCTACCTTAAATGGACAGGTTCACGGTTAACTGCGTGCTCATTAATTAAATTACTTCTTTTCAATTAATTATTAATTCTATCGGTTAATTATCCCACTCACTTGTATCTCAGCGATCTAAGAGTGTATTTCATAGTAGAAGTGTATTTCAGAGTAACCTGAATTTATTGTTGACTCGAAGGTTTTATTCCATGGTTGATTAATTTACAGCTATTTGCAAATATATGAGTTGATCAAATGCAAGTGACTGCCAGGGGAGTGTGCAGATTGGTTCTTTGACAACATTATCACATGATCATATTGGTTGCATACGTTGAAAAACAGCATATTTTGATAAATGAGCATGCGCTGAACCGTGAACCTGTCCCTTTAAAACAAAACAGGAACTCTGATGTGGGTAACAAACAAGATCAGCTACCGGTATTATCCCAAACGAGCCCACTTCAAGGTCTGACAATCAATTATGCCCCATTCACACCAAAGCTAGAAACATCTTCAAAGTTGTTTAGTTAAAAACAGTTTAAAATTGTTTTCCTCATAAAAGCTGCTTACTGACCTAACCACATTGCCAAATTTAAAACGCAAATTACAAATTATCGGCGTCTTGAAGATCATTTGAATCCTGTTTAAAAGTCTGCGTGTTCCAGTTTTCCGTCTCTTTTTCATTTTTTGAAACTTGGTTTAATTAAAAATGTTTAGTTGGTGTGAATGACCCGATCAAACTCAAATGAACTTTAAGATAAATGACACTTATGTTGACAAAGCCATTAAAAAGGTAATAACATTAAGAAAACTGTCGATAGAAAAGGATTGACCTTGTTTGATCTGCATGAGTGAAACGTCAAGTGCAAACATGCTGCTATTGGAATTCAATCAATCGGTCATGCTTTTTACCATTAATACGCAACGCAGTTTTGATGAATCAGATTCTATTTATATATTGGACTAGCTCATACTAATTCCGTGCACGATATAAAAGCGGTCAAGACAATTAAAGGCTGCAGTTAGGTTTGAGTCAATTGAGGAGACGGAGAGTCTGAATTTTTCGCATCTGAGGTCTTAGTTCTCGCCGCTCCCGATAAGCCAGATGGCAGCAACCAATAGTGCGTTCCGAACAGAAACAAGAGATGAGCATCTTTACAATCACATAGAGTTGTTCAATAGGTCGTCTTCACCAATCGATGCTCCAGCAGCAAACCGTTGCCAAGATTGCAGAGAGCGACAACCGACAGAAAATCAGATCGCAACAGGTCGGCGTATGTTCGGTGATTACAGAACAGAACCCAACAATGACCACCTTTACTATAACATACAGTCAATCAATGAGCCGTCTTCACCCGCCACCGAAAGCCAAGAAGCAAACCAAACCTCCCAAGATGACAGAAGAGGGCAACAACCAACAGGAAATAGTAAGACGATGGGTCGGCGTGTGACATCAGCAGTTTTTGCCTTAGCCTTCCTGGCCATGCTTGCTTCATTGCTAGCTTTGAAGTGGGAACTCGTAAAGTCATGTCGAACAAACGGTAATGTTTTAGATAGATATGGAATGATTTTCAGGGATCGTAGAAGGCCTAAGGCCGTTCGAAAACGGAGTCTCTATTTGGCTAATTTTTGATATTATATACTCTTGAAATGGTGTCCCAAATTCTTTATTGATATTTTTAGGTGCGAATTCTCTTTACTTTGAAAGATTTTGAGGAGTCCTTGAGGGGCCGCCATTGGTGAATGAAAGAGTACACTTAAATTTAAAGAAATTAATAGTCTTACACTTTAATAAAAGGATCGTTTCGGTGAGTAAAAGCTAGTAAAATACGGAACTATGTTTTTCGGTCTATAATTAGTCCAATTATCTAGGGCTGATTTAAACACATGGTCTGAAACGAGACCTAGCGTGAGTTGAAAAAGGCATTTGATAGGGCTCTTTTTAGTTTAAATTGTGCTCAAATGGCTCCAGGAGAGGCTGAATCGGCATACTTGGGCCTGCGTGGGTGAATTGGTACTTTGGGGCTGAAACAGGTCTTTTTTTGATTAACAGTGTCTTCAAGACATTAATTAAGGCTGATTCTTATATTAAAATAATATATATTTTAAAACCGTTCTTCTAGATTGATCCGATCATCGTGCACTAAATTTTATTGCACACAGAGAAGAGTATTTTCCATCGTTCCTTTTCAAAACAAAATTCCGCACGTTTAATCAATCAATTAATTCATTCATTTATTCATTCGTTAATTAACATAGTAAGTGGGGTGGACCGGACATCTGAAGTGATATCTAGTTCTTTCTAGAATGGATCTAGTGATATCAATAAATTTTATTACCTTGTTTAGGACAAAGGATAAAACGCAGCAAAG